CTCACGAGCGGCTCCCTCAGGAAACGGGTAATGGTCCCAGGGTCCATTGGTATCCAGGAAGAAGGAAAGAAATACAGAAAAGAACGGGAAGAGAAGGAAGAATGGGCTAGAGGAAAAAAGTGAAAACACAGAAAGGTGGTAAGGAAACGGCGCCTCCCAAAATGTCAGCTACATTTTGGGCCGCCCGTAAACCAGTTGTATTCACTTAGAAACTGGAAAGGCAACATATGGAATCTACAGAACTAGAGATGCGTATGGGAAAACAACAGTCAATAAAGTGCCCACGCAAGGCCCCTACGATCGAATGGTAACTGAGAAGGAAGGAGGATATACACAAAGAAGCCAGCAGTAAAATGCAGTGGTAGATTCTCACGAGCGGCTCTGTCAGGAAGCGGGTAATGGCCCTAGAGCCCATGGGTACGCAGGAAAGAAACACAGAAAAGGACAGCCAGAGAAGTCAGAAAGGTCGATATAGAGGGAAAAAGGGGAAAGCACAGAAAGGCGATACTGTAAGAAAATTGAATGGAACCTCAAAAAATGTAAGCTACATTTTTGGACGCCCGTAAACCGGTGGTATGTACCTAGAAACTTGGAAGGCGACATATGAAAACTACAGAAGTAAAGATATATATGGTGAAAAAACAGTCAATAAAGTGTCCACGCAAGGCCCCTACGATCAAAGGGCAACTGAAAATTTCATGTAAAATCCATATGAAGTTGATCAAGACAACGTAATTTGCCTCCAGAATATGATTTAATTTGATAAAATCAAATATTTATCGAAAGAGTATACATTGCTTTCCTGATATTTTGCATCAAAACGCCTTATTAGGGCCATGAATGAGGTGTTGGTTACATCCCCATTTCAGCATGGACTGGGGTGCCTGCAAAAATGTAAGCTACATTTTTTGTGCACTTTGGGCTGAGAAAATGTAAGCTACATTTTCTGAAGGAACAAACAAACATGTAACTTACATTTTTCCGAAAATTGTAGCTTACATTTGTGAACTGGCTACCAAACATGTAGCTTACATGTTTGGTCTCAAAAGCACAAAAAAAAGTTGCCTACATTTTTGCAGGTCCCTCCTCACGTAGGGGTAGGGGTCGCGCAAGCGGTATTGTTGTGAAAACTGTACGCGGCAGAGTTGCCATAATTACAGTTGCTTCGCGAGGGCAGGGTCTGCCACTCATGTGCGCGTATGCGCCAGACAGGAGTTCTATAGGGTGCGTGTTAAATGCTCGAAAGACAACATTTGAGTTCTATATATATTCCAAAAGCTTCATATTAAGGCTATCAGTTCAAAAAGCAACGCATCCTTTCTAGAATCAAGTGGCATTGTTTAAGGATTAGATTAGAATTAACTTAGAACTGAAATTTGCATTGGGTTTCAAGTAATTTAAGGATTGAATTTGAATTCTAGTTGCTTTTAACTTGAAACAATTCAGAATTATATTGGAACTGTAAAGCAAGCACCATGGAATTGCCTGAGAATTGAAACGGAAGCAAATTGGACATGAACTACAAGAAGATTGAAACGACAAAAATATGGTTTTGATTTCAATAGTACAGGCACTGTAAAAATTTCTAGAATTTGTACAGGCATTCATTTGTAATGAAATTTAAGTTCTATTAGAATTAAACTAAAAAAATATAATCAATTTAGAATTAGATTAAAGTTGAACTTAAGCTAACCAATCCAAATTAGAGATGAATTAGAATTGAGATCTAATTCGGATTAGTGTAAAATTAAGTTGAAAATTGAACTTCTAGAATTCAGTTAGACTCAAGCTAGAGGTAACTTAGAATCTATGTAGGCTCAACTTGGAACTAGATTAAAATTCAATTTACTGTAGAATTAAGTTAGGATTAAGCTAGAATATTTTTATTTCAGTGAACTCCAATGAGTTTTGGTTAAAATCGGGAAAATAGAGTCGTTCAACAATTAAACTAGAATTGAATGATTTGATCTTGAATTAAATTAGACATAACTTACAAGTACATTTGAAACACGTTGGAACCAATTCAGAATTGAAATAGAATTCAGGTTAAAGCTGAATTCTAGAATCAATTCAAAAAATCCATTCAAAGAAAAATTGAATGGAACCATGCCCAAGCCTCTAGTCTATTTGAGGACAAGAAGGCTAGAACTTATTGCCGGAGTCATCAAGTAGAAAACAAAACAAAACACAAATTCTCCAGCGCTCTTTTGCACAAAAGGTGAGGCATGGCAAAGACCTGCTGAGAATTGTTGTTTCTATTTCAAGGCTTACGCCAAACAGCGGGCCGGGCAGGCAAGCAGGGCAGGCAAGCAGGGCAGAGCAGGCGCAGGCCTCAGGTGCAGTTCCTGTAGGGCGCAGGCGATAGGGGATGCAACTCATTTTGGATCAAGGCAGTTCTTCTTGTTGCCGTGTTCGTTGTTGTCGTGGTGTCGTAGTCGTCGTGGGTGCCGTTGTTGTAGTCGTTGTTTTTGTTATCGCGGCGAGGGTTGGTTTGCGCCCAGCCATTGCTTTTGTCGTTTTTACTGCTTCTTCTTCTTCTTCTTCTGCTATTATGCTATTGTTTTCTTCTGCTGTTTGCTTTTCTATGTCATGCTCTTGTGTTTGTTTCTCTCCTTGGTGGTAACCGTTGTTCCGGTTCTTTGTCTGCTTCCTCTTTATCACGCTTTATCTTTCTTTTTCTCTTTCCATTTTTCCTCTTCCTCTTTATCGTCCTTTTTTTCTGTCTCTTTCTCTTTCCCTGTCTGTTTCTTCTCTCAAGGAATGAGAAGGAGAGCAAGCCGAAGCACAAAATGCTAATATGTAAAAATACTCTTCCTCTTACTCTGTCTCTTTCTTGGGAAGAGGAAAAGAAGGAAAGCAAACAGCACAAAATTCAAAAAATGCAAGGCCACCCGGGCAGCATATCTCGCACCACGGGCTCTCCAAAACAACTTCGCATCCAACAACATATCTATCCCGATAGAGTTTTCTCGCGTTTCCTCGCACTGGGTCGGCGGTTCGCGGCGGAGATGAAGACACATTGTGGAAATGTCATGGTGGGGATTACTCAATTCTTGGCAATTTTGTTTTTGTTTTCTCAAGGCTTTGGCCGCCTATTGGTTTTCTCAAAGTTTTCGTTCTCGCTGGTTTTTCTCAAGGTTTTGGCTGTTTTTTGGTTTCTCATTGCAAGTGACATTGAGGCAGCTTTCACATGCACATGGCATGAAGGCAGACAACCGTGGAAAAGTTATGTCGCACACAGACAAAGAACACTCAGGCAGATTCCCTGAATGCAGAAACCTAGGAAAACTGCGCTCTCACAGTCCCCTGTTTTGTTTTTGTTTTTTTTGGGGCAGCTTCTCAATTCTTGGCCACACCACGATGCCTTGTTTGTTTCCCCACAAGGTGGCTGTCGATGATTCTTGCGCCAGATGGCTGAGAACAAGAACGCCGGTTGTTGTCACATGCCACAACCGACGGTATCACAGTAGTCCGCCGTTGAGAGCAACGCGCGGGGCCACCGAGAACAATGCATTGTACTGGCTGCAGTGTTCGTTTTTCACTTAGGTTCTTCCTTCACACCTGAGAGCCACAAACAACAGACCAATAACAGGAATAAAACGAAAGAAAAAATCCAAGAACATGAAGAACACAACAATAGCCAGAACCGCGATAATGACAAACAGAACACAGAAGAAGAAAAACCAGCAACAACATGAACAACGACCAAAACAACAACAATAACCAGATCAAAAAACGACAGCAACAACAATAGCGGCAACCTGCTTTCTATCATCCAACAAGTCTCCGACAACAACACCAAAAAAAAGAGACACTAAAATAAAAATAGACACAAAACAAGAAACAAACACAAGAGGAAGAAGAAGAAACACAAAAAAAATCAAAATACAAGAAAAATCAGAAGAATTTTAAAAAACAAAACATACAAACAAATAGAAGAACAAAAACACGAGGACATATGCAGACCATAATTACGAACAATTTCCCTTTCATCTTAAGTGACGAGAGACTCTTCAAGACAATACGCATGAATAGAACTATAGTATAATTCAAATTGCAGGTCAAACTAGGTGCGTTTCCAAACCAGAGTATATTATAGCCGCGTCACGGGAATAGCCGCAGCAATCGTTCAAATCAGCAAGGGGTTCGCAAGCGTACAGTGTATAACAAGAAATGATTAAATCTCAGGTTGATGTTTCTTTTGCAATGAACATGTTTGCAGCTAGCAAGACCGATGTGAAAGAACATGTTGACCCATGTCTTTTTGGTGTTTGCAAGGTCCATTCCAGATCCTTCCTGTGAGCCGTTACTAAGCAGAAAGCATAAAGATGTTCCCAGGTCAATCAAAGCATAAACAAGATCGTATGCGTGACCCATAATGATTTTGCGAGTGGACTCAGATCATCGGAACACGCACGCAACGTTTTGCTGCTGCACAACGTGAGAGGGTGAATCGTTGGCCTCCATCAGTTCTTTGTTCTCCAGTCCCCGTTCTCCACATCACCAGCACTCTGCCGCGAACTAGTCCAACTGCCTGGTATGGTTTGCCAACAATTCTAGTGCATATCGTGTCCACCCTGAAGCGGTGCCATTGTCACTGTCAAGGGCGACGTTTTGTTCGAGAGGATCAGAAGATAACAGCGGTCGAGTATGCCAAAGGGTGGTCCGCTCCTTAGAGACCAAGGCAATCTCTGGACTATGCCGACCAAGTCTGACGGTTCAGAATGCTCACATGTGGTGTTGAGCCATTTGTGAATATGCCGGCTACCCCTGAGTTGCGCCAAGAATTTTTCCCCCGGTGTAGGTTTCTTGCATATGCAATTCGGCGTTGGCTCCTCAACGCAAAAACAAATTACTTGCCATGCAACCTGCATGTTCTGGAAGCCACGTCGAACTGACATAAGCAACAGTTCGCATCAACTGAGAAGACATTCAAGAAGCCAAACTCTTGTACACAGACAAAAAATAGACATATATATATATATATATACTTCAGAGATCCTGGCATCACTTAGCATTGACAGCGTGTTTGGTTGTGCCATGGCCTCAAAAAAGCATGTTATAGTGGGTGCTTGGACTTTGGTCGGAGCTGCTGCTGGCACCAAATTGTTTCTTGATCATGGGAAGTATCAAAAACTACCTTGCGTTCAACTTGCACTTGAGGAGCTAGCTGCAAAGCGACAGTTCTTGGAACCACTAAAACTCGGCTTGTGGCCAAGACAGGGTCATTTGGATGCGAATGCCGGCCTGATGAGAGCTCGTTTTCAGGTGTGCGGTGCAGATGGCGCAATGGCACATGTCTTGGTTGGTGCCAAGAGAGAGAAGCAACATGAAGATTTGGAAGGTCAAGAAGATGAAGACCAAGACTGGAAGTATTATTGGTTGCGTCCATGGGAGTTCAAGAAAGCACTCGTTGACAAGATTCGATCTATCGGACGAGGATCTCTCGGCTCAGCCTTGGAGGATGACCCTTCACAGTGGAGACTTGAAACATTGGTAGTTTTGCCTGATGGTGGTAAAGATTCTCAGGCTCTTCTCGGCAATCCCCTCTCACTGCCTGAGTATGAAGCCTTTTGCCTAAGGCGCGATCAGAGTTCAAAAGATGACCTGTCAAGGCGCAGATTGCATACAGCTTTGTGCATCTCCTTCATGGCAACCATCCTAGCTGGTGGTGCTCGTTTGGTCCGATCAGGTCATGTTTGGCAAAGCCATGGCTTTGTTCGAAAAGCTGTTTTGGAAGATCGTAAAATCAAAGCAGTTCTGGGTCCTTCGCACATCGAATCCTGCACTGGAACGTTCACCCCGACCTATATCAATGCACAACTCAAGCTTGTTGGCAATGCTGGCGCTGTGGCAGACGTGACCGTGGCAGCAAGTCGAGATTCCTCACACCAAAGTTGGCACATTGCCAGTGCACGAATGAATGTTGGCGGAGTGATGTGCAAGCTAGACCTGGCCAGATAGCATAAAAAGGGGGCCGAAAGGCCAGGACAGGCTCCAACCAACATGAAGCTTTAGGCAGATTCTGTCTTCAAGGTAAGCAACAGAGGCGAGGTAGGGAGTGAGAGAGGGAGGGAGAGATGCAACGTGAGGCCTCATCAAGTGGGCAATGAAAGACGGGATGACTGCCTGGAGATCATAGCAGAATTTATGAGGACAAGCTTCAGCCTCAGCTGCACAACCATCGTTTGACTCTGAGCAAGATTATATATATATATATGTGGGGGGGACCTTTACGTTTAGCATAACGACCTCTCACTCCTCAGCTTCGTCCCAACTGCTGTACTCTACTCTATTCAAAAAAACGATTGTGCCAAAGATGCAATGAGACTTGGATAATATACCTTACCAAATAAACGTAGAGCCTGGTGGGATACAAACAAGAGAAGTGGTATAGGGTAGGGTAAAAGATACACAGGTTGATCAACTACATATATATGATATATGTAATATATAATTGGTAGTCCTGGTCTCGGGTGGACAAAGTAGTTCTGGTCGGCTGTGCTGAGATCTGACCTTGGCTCTAAACACCAGTGAAAACCATTGTAAAGATAAAGCTCGATTTTAAATGAGTGTGTCAAAGACTACTGCAGGGTAAGATACACTAGACTAGTTATCCAGGTAGAATTACGCAGAGTAGAGTAGCATACATACAGACAGAATACGCCCACGCGATAATTGCGACAAAATTGAACAATATTATGGGTGTGGTTCTTGCCCTTTGTTGATCCTTGTTGCGTCATCCATTTCTCCTATGGACTTTTTGCACAGCCTGCGTTCTGAGTAACGGAGGACATGAACACAGAGAATATGGGCGGGAACACAAATTTCTAGGACATCCTGCAGCATTACAACCAGAAATTTTTTGTTGTCGTCTTACTTCTCGTTTGTCCCTCCCTCCCTCTCCTGTCCTAGGTTGAAGCCTTTTGCACGCTTGCATGTTCACATCTTTTCATTTTCTATTTCATTTCGATCTGCAGTCTTCCTTTCATACCTCCCTTCAAGTAGACAATGTTAGAGTGCATCATTTGCTTTCAAAACCTTTAGGTACATAAATACGAAAAGGAGCTTATGAAAGGGTTTACATATTGGTTACTGTATATTAGGGGGTGCTTTCTTATTGTTTATCGGATAACTAGCCCACTCCTCTCCATTCAGCTTCGTCCCAGCTGCTGTACTTTACTGTATTATTCTAGTCAAAAAAACGATTGTGCAAAGAAGACTCGGATAATACACTATGCCAAATAAATGTTGAGCTTGGTGACAGACAGGAGAAGTGGCATAGGGTAGGGTAAAAGATAAAGCAGAAGCGAACACAGGATGATAAACTACATGTATATAACACTATATATAATATAATATATTATAGTATAGTATAATATAATATAATATATAATTACTGTAGTAGTCCTGGTCTGTGGTTGACAAAGTACAAGGTAGTTCTGGTCGGCTGTGTAAAGATCTGATCTTGGCTCTAACCACTATTGGAAACCATTGTAAAGATGCAACTCAAGTTTAAACGAGTGTGTCAAAGACTATGGCAGGATAAGATAGACTAGGTTGTAGGCTTACTTTTCGTCTGTCACTCCCTCCCTCTCCTGTCCTAGGTTGAAACCTTCTGCGCACTTGCACGTTCACATCTTTTCATGTTCTGTATCATTCAATTTCGGTCTGAAGAATAGGCAACGTATGTAAGAGTGAAAAAGTATGTGCATGTCCAGGGCAGCCTGCATCATTTGCTTGCTGCTTGCAAAGCCTTTAGGTGCATAAATACGAAAAGGAGCTTATGAAAGAGTTTACATATTACTTGTATTAGGGGGTGCTTTCTCACTGTTTATCGGATAACTAGCCCACTCCCTCGCCATTCAGCTTCGTCCCAACTGCTGTACTCTACTCCATTCTAAAAAACGATTGTGTCAAAGATGCAATGAGACTCGGATAATATACTATTCCAAATAGATGTAGAAGAAGGTGGGATACAAACAGGAGAAGTAGCACAGGGTAGGGTAATGTACATCAATGCAAGATGAAGCAGAAGCGAACACAGGTTGACAAATTACATATCATACATAGTAGTCCAGTCTATGGTGAGGGGTTTATATAAAAAGGTTTTTGTGGAAGGGTGTGCACAAAATACGATTGGCCTTGGCAGGGTGAGGGGTCTATAACATGATGGGTTTTGTGGGAGGGTGTGCGCAAATACGATGGGGGTGAGGGGTTTATAAAATGAGTTTTTGTGGTAGGGTGTGCACAAATACGAGGGACTTTTGACAAGGTGAGAGGTTTATAACATGGGTTGTTGTGGAGGGCGTGCGCAAATACGAGGGCCTTGGCAGGGTCAGGGGTTTATAAAATGGGTCTTGTCGGAGGGCGTGCGCAAATACGATGGACTTTTAGAGGGTAAGGGGTTTATACAATGGGTTTGTCCAACCTTTGTGTTTTGTGTGCTTAAATTTGGTCATGGCATGGTCTGTTAATAATGGCCTATAGCAAATTGCCAGTAGCCTATAAATGAGTAGATCTACCAAATCATGGGATAGGCATAGTGTAATTCACAACCAGCCCTTATAAAGCAATAAAAAAGAGAGAAGTAACAAAAGTTTAGCCAACTCATAGTGATGGGGTTCTGAAAAAGATTGCTTAAACGGCGGTTATATTATGTTCTCTTTTTGCACTCTTTTCTCCCTCCACAATGAAGACAAATGATACTTACTATTCTTTTCTCCCTTTTCTCCATCCACACTGATAATAAATCATTATAGTTCCTGGGATTTGGACTTTGGCAGCCCACCAACACAAAAACAAATCACACATTGTGACATTGAACATATAGGGATTTTTTAAAGTAGATTTACAAAAGCCATGGAGCAATGGAATGTAACATGTAACATATGCCACAATTGTTCACTGCAGGCATGTGTTGTTTGTTTGAGTGAATTTTTGTTTTGCTGATTGTTTGTGTGTACTGTTTTCCGTTTATCTTTTTTCGGAAAATGTTTGCATTTTATGAAAAGAGGACTGGAAAAATAATTTTGTATATCACCAAGATCCCCATTTTATAAAGAGTTCCTCAAGGGGTATCATTTTATAAGGAGTCCCTCAAGGGGTATCATTTTATAAGCAAACACGTGTGGGGATATATTTAGTTTTTTTTGCACACGACTAAAAATCAAAATCCTTCAGGTTCCTAAATATCCAGCTGCTATATTGAACTTTGAAAGTAGAAATAGACAAAGCAAAACAAATAGCTTCATATATGATTAAAAAAACACCTACAAAAAAATAACTCCAGGTTCCTAGGTTTTCATGTATTTAGACATTCCTTTAAAAAATAAATTTCTAATCTTTTTAGTTGTGCGGCCTATTGAAAAATAAAAAAAATAGATATATTGTCTTTTTAGTTTTGCACCCTTTAAACAAAAAACGAAAAAGACTAAATATTTCGGTTTTTCGTTTTGCGTCCTTGAACAAAACAACAAAAAGACACACACTAAATATTTGTTGTTTTTGTTTTGCGGCCTTTTTAAAAACACTAAAAACACTTAATATTTAGTGTTTTTGTTTTGCTGCATTTAAAGAAAAGGAAACACTAAAAACATAAATTAAACAAAGAAACTACAAAAACTAAATATTTACTGTAGTTTGTTTAGTTTTGCGGCCTTTTAAAACATACTAGGAAAATTAAGAAATTAAATCCTTCAGGTTTCGAGGTTTCCATGTATTTAGAAATTCTAAAATGTTTTAGCTGTGCGGCCTTTAAAAAAATACAAATAAATTGTGTTTTTTTGTTTTGCGGCCTTTAAAAAAACTAAAAGATCTAAAAAAAATAAATCCTTCAGGTTTCGAGGTTTCCAGGTATTTCGAAAAACTAAAAAACCTAAATATTTAGTTTTAGTTGTGCGGCCTGTAAAAAAATATCAAACAACAAAGAACACTATATATTTAGTTTGTTTAGTTTTGCGGCCTTTTAAAAACACTAAAAACACCAAAAAAACTAAATCCTTCAGGTTTCGAGGTTTCCAGGTTTTTTTGCCCTTCCAAAAAAACAAAAAATAAACCTAAAAGCACTAAATAGTTAGTTTTTTTAGTTTTGCAGCCTTTAAAAAAACACTAACAGCAACTAAACATACTAAATATTTAGGTGTTTTAGTTTTGCGGCCTTTTAAAAAGAACTAAACAGAACTAAATCCTTCAGGTTTCGAGGTTTCCAGGTATTTAGAATTTAAAAACGAAAAAAGTAAATATTTAGTTTTGCGGCCTTAAAAAAGCAACTAAAAAAACTAAAAAGAACTAAATATGTAGTTTTCTTAGTATGTTTTACTTGTTATTTTTTTAGAATTTCTAAATACCTGGAAACCCTCGAAACCTGAAGGATTTAGTGTTTTTTTAAAGTCTTTTTTAAAGGCCGCAAAACTAATTAAAGGACCGGATAACCCCACATATGAATCTTTACGAATCTTAAGTTTCTAAAGCACAAAGCAGTCAGAGTCTCAATAGCTTCTACAACATGGCCTTGTCAGGAATTATATCAGAATTTCTCAACAGAGGGGTGGGAGAGAGGTGTGGGAGATTAATGTGCACGGCGGATGTACGAGGTATTGTGCAGACATGTGTGTACAGAAACAACTAGCCGAAGTAAAACCCCATCGCTCTGCCACAAACTGCTGCGCCTGCCACGAAATCTGCACCTCGAGCTTCACAAAGCGCTGCGCCTGCCACGAATTCTGCACATGGAGGTTCACAAAGTGCTGTGCCTGCCACGTAATCTGCACATGGAGGTTCACAAAAAGCTGCCCTGCCACGAAATCTGCACCTCCAGCTTCACAAAGTGCTGTGCCTGCCACGAAATCTGCACATGGAGGTTCACAAAGTGCTGTGCCTGCCACGTAATTTGCACATGGAGCTTGACAAAGTGGTGCGCCTGCCACGACATCTGCGCGTCAAGAAACAGATGAAAACTCTAATC